ATGCTTAGTGAACTTGACTGTTTCTTTCTGTTCTCTGTTTTTATTTCCCTCCTGTGACAAACTTCAGGATGGAGAGCAATGGCAAACCCTATGTATAAATGAGTGGATTGTGTAGGCAAGTATACTATTCCAATGATCTGGCAGCAGTTGGGGACACTGCTTCATGCTGGTATGTTTCAGCCAGACCTCTAGCCGCAAATATAAGTTTCTCTTCTAAGTAAACCTTAGTTCCTGCTATCACCCAAACCTACTCATCAGAGTTTCCAATGCTGCCAATCTTAAGAAGGTAGGATAGAAAAGAACAAAAGTTCTGAAATAAAGTATATCCCCATGAAACCAACATAAAGTAGAGAGAAGCAAATGGCTAAAATAAAAGCCAGGAAAACGTAAGAAACTTCAGACCAGAAATAAGGAAGTTCCCCATAGCATTTAGAATGAACAAATATTGAAATGACTGTCCAAGGAGGTTTCATAAGCCCTTTGAGCTAGTTAGCAAATACTACAGGGAAGTGCGAGCTATCCTTAACATCAGCCAAATGTTTGTGGGGACTTTTGGAAATTAGTGGAGAAAAAGAGAAGATTATCATTGGAAATTTAAAGACTCCCGAGTTCACACAAATCCTCAGGCAACTAGCTTTCAACCAGTATGTATTTGACACCTATCTTCTAGATCGCTATGCCACGTAATAAAGATATAAAAATGAAAAGTCAGCATCCCTACACTCAAGAATTTAAAAAGTTTGGAGAGGACTGGTTCTTTTGGATGGATACAGCCACCTATGGCAAAAATGTGGGAAAACAATCTCAAATGGTTTAGACAGTCAAATACAAGGCAACAACAGAATCCAAGAATCATCAGCATTTCCACAGCATCATAAAAGAAAGGAAAACTGGAAGAGAAGGAAATATTAAATTCTTCTTTTATAAAACCTGTTGGTAAGTTTAGTCTTTCTGAATTTGTGTTTGTGTATTTTCTGTGTGTGTGTGTGTGTGTGTGTTGTCATATTTGGAGACTGAGTTAAATCTTTTCAACTGCCAAATTCTTACCTGTTTTTTCCTGTTTATTCAAATTTCTACAATATACAAATTTCTGTTTATAAAGCAGGCAAAATTTGAGTTATTATAAATATGATATTGACTTTTTAATTTTATTTTTGATGTAGTATAACATGTGATGAATAAACCAAAAATGAATAAGACAGGTTTTGAAATGAGACAGACCATCTAATTAATTTCTGTTATTTACTCAGTATATAGCCTTGAACAAGTACAATTTCTGTGAATATTCAGGTTCTTCATCTATAAAATGGAGGTAATTAGACTTAGGAAGAGTATACAGACAAGTGTGGGCATAGTTTCTGGGGCAGAAAATCATTCAAATATTGATGATATTGACCACATTTTATTAAGAAATTATCATATTCATATATATAGATAGAGACAGAGAGAGAGAAACATTTTCTTCTTTATTCCTCAGAAAATATCACAAAGCAGGAATAATTATTACCCCATTTTCAAATAAGGAAACCAAGGTTTGCAAAGTTTTGATTACTTTCCCTTTTTAGACAAATCTGTTTCTGGAAGGACGAAGTATCATATTTGCTTTGAACTTTTTGGAATTGTGGGGGATAATGTAGAGTTTGCAGGTCATATATAGTATGGCCTTATACTTTATCTCCACATGGGGATACTTTTGAAAGAGGAAAAGGATGCTAAATGGATGGGATGCCAAGAAAACAAACATGAAGTGTTCTGGGTAAAATAGAACTTGTTAGTAGTTATTTGTAATTTTAAACCCCAAAAAAGTATGAAAGAAGGATGTTCTCTGATCACAACAAAACTATAAATAACAAAATTAAATAATACTTCCAAACTACCCATGGGTCAAAGAAGAAATCACAAAGAAATTAGAAAATATTTTGAATGGAATTATAATGAAAACCCAACTAACAAAATCTGTGGGATGTAACTCATGTCGTGGTTAGAAAGAAATTTACAGTTGTAATGTTTATATTAGAAAAGAAGAAACCTCTAAAGTCAATGTTCTAATATCTCACCTTAAGAAGCTAAGAAGAAGAAGAACAAATTAAGTCAAAAGTAAAGACAAGGCAATAAAGAGTGAAAATCAATAAAATGGAAAACAGAAAATCAATGAATCCAAAAGCTGGTTCTTTGAAAAGGTCAATAAAGCTGATAAATTTCTAAGTAGACTGATTTTAAAAAAGAGGGAAGAAATAAGTTATCAGTATCAGGAATGAAAGGGGGACATCACTACAGAGCTTACAGATAATTTGAACAATTTTTCTTACTAATTTGACAACTTAGATGAAATGGAAAACTCCTTGAACTACACAAATTACAAAAACAAACACAAAACAAAGTAGCAAATATTAATAGCCATGGAACTATTAAAGAATTTGATTCATAGGAAAAAAGTTTTCCACTAAGAAAATCCAAGCCCAAATGGCTTCACTGATGAATTCATTTATGTAAAAAACAAAAACAAAACAATAGAAATTGATTAGTGATGCCTTATACATAGTAGGCTTTTTCCTACTCTTACTTAACCTCTCTGGGCCTTAGTTTCTTCTTGTGTAAACAGGAATTTCTATACCAAAACCTCATAGGCTTGCAAAATGCTTAATTATGATACTTGATTTGTAGCCTTTAGCACAGTGCCTGTCATACTGAAGTATTTAATAAGTGCTAATCATTATTAACTTTTATTATTATTTTATCTCAATATTATATGGTAGTCATCTAAATATATTAAATCCACCAAATTTTTCTTTTTTCTTCCCTTGAAACCCCTAAGATAAATCCAGACTTAGAGCAGAACAAATGTTCCTCTGATTCTTGGCTTTTCTTGTTGCACTCCTGTAGAGCACGTAATGACTCAGAACAAATTAGCAGTCCTCCAAATGGAATTTCTAAACAAATGGGCTCCACAGACTATTTTAAAAATGTCTCGTCACCTAGACACAGATGAGCAAATGCTCTTGGCATCTTATTGAAATCTTTGGTGAGTCTGCCAGAATGCAATGTTGGTGTTTTTAAATGCATTAGACAGAGCTGAGTTGATTTTTAGTTTTATCTGTCAAAAAAATCAATCAAAAAATGGTTTTTATGAACCCATTTGTTAAATGCTCCACACTGTACTGGAAGCTATAGGGGATTAAAAAGAAGAGTAAACCACAGTTTATGACTTCAAAGACTTTACAATCCAGTTGTGGATACACACACACACACACCATTCACAAAACAAGATTACACAATAAAAAATAAAAAATTAATAATGATAATAATAGCAAAATAGGCAGAACCAAGTCTATCCAATACCAAAGCTCATGCTCTTTCCTCTAAAAACAAAACAAAGCAAAATAAAATAAATGCAAAATCCTGGGTTCCTCTTCAGATTCTTATTCTGTTGAGGTCTGGCCTTTGATACCTTTTTCTTTAGGATGTCAGGTGATCTACTGTACAGCCAAGGAGGAGAACTGAACTAAAACAATAGTCACCATATCACCCATATACACAATACATAATATGCAAAGAATATAGGTATTAAGAAAGTTCGGTAGATGATAATTATCAGCAGGAAACCTGGAATGAAACAACTTCCTCTACAACAGATATTTCCCAACCACAAATACTTTAATGTTAATCAACTTGTTCCAAAGTCATAACTTGACTATATGTATATATAAAAATATATATTTATACATATATATTAATAAGAGATTATATTGTATCTTCACAAGTACCATTTCATTTTAAACATCATAAGAATTAGGGAGTGAGTAGGGGTAGTTACTTTATTTATTTATTTCCTACTGAGAAAACCAAAAGCCAAAATTATTGCAGGTCACACAGCTAACCAGTGACTAAACGCTGTGCTCATTTCATTATTTCACTCTGACTGTCCCACTCCAATATCCCTATAGCTCAGTGACACTGAGGACTGGCTACATTATCTGTGTGACCCAATACAAAATGAAAATTCAGAGTTCCTTGTTCAAAATGTGTCCAGAATTTCAAGATAGCAACTGCACAGTATTAAACCAAGTGCAAAGCCCTTCTAAGTAACTGCACAGGTGCATGCCCATAAAGCTGGCCCAATGACACCACTGCAAATTAAACCATAAAATCAGTAATTCAAGGAGCTACTAATTGAACAAGGCAAAGGTATGGATGCATTAAAAATAATTACTTCTCCAGGAAGCACTGCAAAATACCTGTGACAGATGCAATCCAAGCTGTATGATCATAATCACCCTCCTCTAAGTAAATTATTCAGATTAGGAAAATGCATGCCCATCAGCTTTTGGTGAAATAAGATAAACACATTTCTTCCCAAGTTACTCACTGAACACATTAATATGCATTTTTCCCAAATGTAATGAATTGATATGCTTCAGACCGTGACAAGGTAAAGGCATCAGAAAGTTGATTCAAGAGCAGAAAAACCATCAAATTAACTTGTAGCTTTCAGCAAACCCACACTATTTGGCCTATGCTTCCAGCATGTCATTTCAGAATAAGCGGCTTCAGAAAGGGAACTAGCAGATGCTTTCACAACAGAGTAAGAGCTGAAATAAACACCTGACAGTGCTAGCAATGAATACCAGATGTTCTCAGAGGAACTGGGATCCGTGGTTTGAATTCCAAGAGTAACATGATCTTCCGGAATGCAGAAAACCCCACTGCTGTCCGTAACTTCTGTAGAATCCCCCAACACTGTAAAACTAATTGGGTTGAGAGCCAGCTCCATTCCTTGTGAAGGAACAGTGAGGAACCAGCACATTCCCCTTCTTGTCTCTTATCTGTACTTCGATCTTATTAGAAAATCTCTGAAATCTGGAAATCCCATCAAGAAAACTCCAGAATGAGTTTTGAACCAGCAAATGTGTAATTGGGAAGTGGAGGAGGGAAGGAAAATTCCTAAATAAATAAAATGTGTCTTTTTCATTAAAAATAAGATAAATGTGATCTAGAAAAAAAAAAGAAAAAGCATTTAAATCTATCAAACATGAACAAGGGAAAAGTTACAGAAATGTTTCTTTTATTCTTCAAAACAAACATCTACAGATCATAATTTCTTATTGGGCAGCAATCACCTACACCATTTGGTAGTAAATATAAACAGTTGCCCTTCCTGGAGTTCAACCAATCTGTATTCCAACCCCCAATATGGGTGAGCTTGATTATGGGTATTAGGTTCTTTTGATCTGTAAGTAACAAAACTAACTTAAGCAAATAGGAAATGATACCAGGGTTTATTACTAAATCCAAGAAATAGTTGTATATCCAGGTCATAGGATCGGGCTTGTGGTGGGGGGGGGGGGGGGTGATCAGGACAGCTCCAAGGACCTCAAATGGACTTGGTGGCTCTTTCCTCTTGGTCTCTTGCATCACAGCAACTTGGTCTCTGCTGAAAGATTCAGTGGAGTTCATGTAGAGAATATATCCACACTCTGAACTCTTTTAATGAAGGTGTATTAAGTTGAATGCATTTTATTGATAAATATCACTTGCAGCTCACACATCCAAAAGTACTAAAATGTTCACAAATACCCAAAAGATGTGGAACACGAATGTTAGTTCTAGGGCAGGAGAGTGTTATTTTCAGGCTCCTTTCACTTGCCCTCCTCATGAGTGGACAAGAAATACATTTGAGTGATTGAAGATGAAAAGAACTTTTGTACTATGGGTGTGCTTAACTAAGGACAGGTGTTTCCCCAGAGATTATTACAAGGAACTAGCACAGCATAGTGATAAAGATATGGATTTTCTGAGACACAGCTGAGTTCAAATCTGAAATGATCCATTCCCTAGCCAGCTGTTTGAGACTGGGAAAGGTACAAACTATTTATGAATTTTAGTTTTTAAATAATACCATTTCTCTCTGAATATTAAGATAATGCAAAGTCTTTCTGGAGATGTGAAAAACATACGAAGTTTCAAGGCATACACTGTAATTGTCCTGTAATCTCATCCCCTGGGCCTGTGAGTTAAAATTGCAATCGAATTCTTATAAATTTCCAATCTGTGCATATATAAACATATATATATATATATTCCCCACAATCACTGTTTTGGCTGCATCCCACAGATTCTGAAGTTTTGTTTCATTTTCATTCAGCTAAAACTATTTTCCCTGGCAATTTTTTCCTAGACCCATTAATAATTCAGAAGTGTGTTACTTAATTCAAAGTTTCAGGGATTTCCAAGATATCTTCCTGTTATTGGTTTCTAATTTACTTTTGTTGTGGTCACAGAACATTCTCCGTATGATTTCAATCTTTATTATTTACTGAAAATTATTTTATGGTTCAGCATGTGGTCATCTTAAGTGTTCCATGTGCACTTGAAAAGATTGTTTTTTGAGAGACGATGGACTCTGAAAAACAAACTGAGGGTTCTAGAGGGGAAGGGGGTGGGAGGATGGGTTAGCCTGGTGATGGGTATTAAAGAGGGCATGTTCTGCATGGAGCACTGGGTGTTATGCACAAACAATGAATCATGGAACACTACATCAAAAACTAATGATGTATTGTATGGTGATTAACATAACAATAAAAAAATTTTTTAAAAAATGACAGACCCCCCCAAAAAAAGAAAAAGAAAAGATTGTTTTTTGCTCTTTGCTGTGCACTATAAACATCAATTAGTTTGGGTTGGTTAATAGTGCTGTTCAGTCTTTTATATTATTACTGTTTTCCTGTAGCAATTATTAAATCAAATTTTAGATTAATATTTTGAAATCTCCAATCATAATTATAGTTTTATCTATTCCTCCTTTAATTAATGCCAAACTTTGCCTTATGCATTTTCAATCTATGTTATTAGGCATACACATTTAGCTTTGTTATGTTTTGTTCATAAATTAACCCTTTGTCTTTATGAAATTTTCCCCTTTGTCCCTGGAAATCTTCCTTGGTGTGAAGATGATTTTTTTCTGATATTACACAGTTATTCTAGCTCTCTCAAGATTACTCATTGTATTAGATATTTTTTAATATATTTTCAGTCCTTTTCATTAAACCTCTCTTATTTAAGTGTTTCTTGTAAATTCAATATAACTAGATCTTTGTTTTAAAGCCAGTTTTACAATCTCCACTTTTAATTGTGTATTTAGATCATTTAGTTATCAACATTGTTATGTGTAAACCTACTATCTTTGCTCTTTATTTTCTATACATTAAATCTTTTCTTTGTCTCTTTTTTCATGCCTTCTTTTGGATTAATAGAATGTTATTATATTCCATTCTTGCTCCACTTTGGCTCCTTAATTATACATCCTTGTTTCATTTTGTCAGTGGTGGGTCTTGGTGAAAATATGCATCTTTAACATATGACTGTTGTCTTCAAATACTATAGCCCTTCATGTATGATATAAGAACCTTAGAACAATATCCTTTCATTCCCTCCCTAGTCCTTCATGCTGTTGTTAGACATTTTAACAAGAACTTAATACAAGATATATTCTCCTCAGGTTTTGTACCAAGTCCCTTTCCCATAAGTAGTATGTGAAAAGTACCAATTTTCAACATCCTTACTAACCCCTTAGAATTGTCATATTTTAAAATTTGTGCCAATATATTTATGATTGTTTTACTTTGCATTTCCCAAATAAAATTCTTGAGGCTCAGCATCTTTTCATTATTTATTGGCCATTGTATTTCCTTTCTGACAATGAAAAGTTTATATATATTATACATATTTCCATGAAGTTGTCTTTTTCTTGTTGATTTGTGAGAGTTTTTATTTAATAAACTCTAATATTTATCCTCTATTTTATTCATTACAAATACTCTCCTTGTCTTCACCTTTTGACTTTATTTTCTGAATTTTTATTTTTATTTTTTTAATTTTATTCTTATGTTAATCCCCATACATTACATCATTAGTTCTAGATGAAGTGTTCCATGATTCATTGTTTGTGCATAACACCCAGTGCTCCATGCAGAATGTGCCCTCCTCAATACCCATCACCAGGCTAACCCATCCTCCCACCCCCCTCCCCTCTAGAACCCTCAGTTTGTTTTTCAGAGTCCATCGTCTCTCATGGTTCGTCCACCCCTCCGATTTCCCCTGCTTCATTCTTCCCCTCCTGCTACCTTCTTCTTCTTCTTTTTTTTTTCCTTAACATATATTGCATTATTTGTTTCAGAGGTACAGATCTGAGATTCAACAGTCTTGCACAATTCACAGCGCATAGTTTTTTTTTAATTTAGTGAAGTCAAATTTCTTAATATTTTCCTTTATGGTTTGGGCTTTTTAGATCATTAAGATAAATTCTTCCCAGTTCTAATAAAATGAATAATTTCTAGATTTTCTTCTAAATGTTTAAAAATTTTGCTTTTCACATTGAAGCCCTTAATCATTCAGAATTTAAACTTTCTATTACCTTTTGTTCTGCTTTTTATGCACCCTACATACAGCACATTCCAACACTGCATCCCTTTTTACCTCAATCCTGACTTTTTTATAGTTCAGCTTAGTTACCCCTTCCTTCATGAAGCTTTCCTTGACTACTCCAGCCCTCAATGACTTACTTTCCCTCCTCAACTTCCTAAGACATTTATCACTGAGCTTTGCTATTAATTGATGCCTGTGCATGGCTGAGAATTAGAAGGCTTTACAACATTCAGGCAGATAATCTTAATGAATCAAGAGGGCCAGAATTGAAGCCTATAAGCAGAATGGAGAATGGAATAGCACAAGTCTTGTTTCAAGGGGAGTTGCTACTCAGCCCTGTCACTTATTTGTGTGGTACGTAAGCTCAACACGGCCAAGTCTCTCTCTCTCTCTCTCTTTTTTTTTTTAAAGATTTTATTTACTTATTTGAGAGAGAGAGAATGAGAGACAGAGAGCATGAGAGGGAGGAGGGTCAGAGGGAGAAGCAGACTCCCCGCTGAGCAGGGAGCCCGATGCGGGACTCGATCCTGGGACTCCAGGATCATGAGCCGAAGGCAGTCACTTAACCAACTGAGCCACCCAGGCGCCCCGAGTTGGCAATATTTTAATGTCAGAATAGCTCACATAAAAAATTTTACATTCCTAGGTTCTATTGTAAAAAAGAGAGAGAGAGGGCACCTGGGTGGCTCAGTTGGTTAAGCGACTGCCTTCGGCTCAGGTCATGATCCTGGAGTCCCGGGATCGAGTCCCACATCGGGCTCCCTGCTCGGCAGGGAGTCTGCTTCTCCCTCTGGCCCTCCTCCCTCTCATGCTCTCTGTCTCTCATTCTGTCTCAAATAAATAAATAAATCTTTAAAAAAAAATATTGCCAACTCATTTCAAGATATTTTTAAAGCTTTATGTAGGTGTATTTCAGGGGTGGATGGTTATCTCCTGGTCAGATTCAGTCATCCCACTACCAATCTCTAACCTCTGGTTTGATTGTTTCTTATTAGTTGATCAGTTTAATCATCTCTTCAATTAAATCATAAACCTCTGAGTATAGGAACACCTACTTTGTAACCACCACAGGAGCTGTCACAGGAAGAAGCTTATGATAATTGCTCTGTAAACCTCTGACTGACTGTTGATTGACGGGAGACATCATTTGTACACCCCGTGCCAAAGTCCTATCCACACTGAGGTGCTAGGGAGAGGACTGGAGCAGATCCCACAACAAGGCACTTGTTGACCAAATGCACAAATGCAACACGGCACAAATGACCAGGATGGCTGCCCACCCAGTGACTGTCATTCCAGTGAGGCATGCTTAGAAAATAGATCTTCCCAAAGCCAGGTCATTTCTTCCCAGGGCTGGGATGCCAGGAGGGACACATTCTGGACAATCTGCCAGGATAAATTCAAGAGTTTTTAGGTACCAGTGGTCTATGTAGTACAAAGGGCAGACACCAGTCCCTAGAGACACAAACAGAGGAGTAGAGAGAAGTAGAAAATGCCTCCAACCCCTTCTTCATCTCTTAGGAGAATAAAATCCTGCCTCTGAGGAAAATTGTGGCATGACCATTGTTTATTTGTAATTCTGGGTCCTTACCCTGAGAATCACCAACCTCACAGTATCAAGTTCACTTACAGCCTGAAGAATGAACTCAAGGTCCATCTCTGTAGCAAAGGTAGGCTTCAATCAGGAATGAGACACTCAGATTCAAAGCTTTAGTGTATCCCTGAAGAGCTCTAGCTGAGGTGCTTGACCTCTCTGACTTTCTGTCTTCTCACCTTTAAAATAAGAACATTCAAATTACAACTCCCTCTTAGTCAGAGAAGCAGTATTGGGGTGGTAAGGAGCACAGACTCAAGTAAGACAACAATTTTAACCTACTAACTGAGTGACCCAGAGAAAGTTACTTAACTGACCTCCCTGCGCCTGAGTTTCCACACCTACAAAATGAGGATATATAGAATATATCTGACTGGGTTCCTCTGGAGACCAAATGACATTCTGCATGTAAAGCTCACTACAAATGATAGGTTTGAGTTCATGGGTGTGTGAGAAATTGATGACTGTAACGCATCATTATTATAGGATCTTCTGTTCCATTCTCCAGAACAAAAATATCCCCTAAACAAACTGGCCATCCATTGTTATTGTGTTGTTGTTATTGTTATTCCTTCCTCAAGACTGCAGGGTCACGTGAAGGAAAACTTAGTAGGATCTATTTCTGTTGAAAGCTAATGTGTTCCCTCCTCTGAAGCTACACAACGTTCACCCTCCGTGCCTCATGCCCACCTGGAAACAGGCCCAGGCAAAAGCACTTCTGTGGCTAGGAAGAAAATCCTCAATGATGCTTCGAAATATTACACAAAAAAAGTCCTAAAAGTTACTAAAGTACAGATCTGAGCATGTGTCTCTTTGCCACACAGTGTCCGAATGCTCCCCCATGTACCTCTCCATATCTCTGTAAGCAGCTTTCTAAGGAGATTACAAAGAGGCTCCCTTCGCTCAGGATTCAGCTGCACTCACCTTCAGAGCACGGTGCCTTCTGATTTAACATCCTGCTTAACAAAGATGGGCACCTGTGGGGAAAGGTCTGTGGAGGGACAGTCTATTCCCTACTTGCAACTCTGGCCTCTAGAGAAGTCCTGAAAAACTGAAGGTCTTCCACCCATGTAGACAGACTCATATTTAGGCAAGAGAAAGGTAAATTCTCAGATGGTCCTTGGGAAGCATTACTGCACGTGGCGAGTACCTAGAACTCAGTAGGTACTCACTAAATACTTTTTGAATGAATGAATTGTTTTTTAGCAACCTGAACAGGCAATCCAGAGGGCTCTCTCAGCCAGTTAAAAGAAGCACAAAAAATCAATGAAGATACTTTCTGAGGTCACTGACTTTCTCACCTGGGGAACCCTCCTGTGCAGCAAAATACTCATGGAAAAGATAGAAGTAAGGGATATGCTGATGTTCCCAGTAAGAGACAGGTAAAGAAGATATACAACACATTATGTACCCTGAACCTATTTAAGGAAAGATTAATCTTTAAAGATAATGGGGGTTGGATTGCCTGGAGAAGCTAAAGACAGGAAAGATGGAAACCTCCCAGAATTTTATTTTATTTTAAGTAGGCTCCAAATTGGGCTTGAACTCATGACCCTGAGATCAAGACCTGAGCTGAGATCAAGAGCCGGACGCTTAACTGACTGAGCCACTTAGGTGCCCCATAAGCCTCCCAGAATTTTGGAGCAGGGATTGGCCCTGGAGACTGTCCAGTCTAACCCTCTCATTTTGTAGTTGGAAACCTGGTGCCCTGAGAGACAAGCAGGAATGCATCCAGTCCCTTAAATGACCAGTGATAAATTGGGATCAAGAACCTCAGCTTATATCCTCATCATTTGCCACCCTTTCCATGTTCTGAGGCTCTTTACCTCCCTCTAGAATGGCTTCGAGCAGAGCAAAGACAAACTTGTCAACTTCACTAACCAGTGTATGGACCTTTATAGCCCTGGGGACTCCGCTTCCTTGAATCACCCAAACCTTTTAATAGAACGATCAAAACTTCCTTTCCTTTGGGAATCGAGAAGAAACCCTCCCTTTCCACCCAGGCCCACTATTTAGAACACGGGTGAAATGGTCACAAGCTTTATGCAAACCTTATTGTTAGCACGAGGGGTTTGAGGTTACCTTACCCTCTGACTCAGGATGATGAACTCCTGGTGATGTAGCAGGGGAGTATCAGGTGCCCGCACTTTCTGATGAAACCAAATCTCTTCCTGAGAGTTTGGAAGCAGAAAAAAATACATACATAACAAACTTTTTCTTCCGTAGGGTGCCCCCCAAAATGTCCCAGGAGTAATCCTAAGGTTTATGCAGCATGTGTTTTTATAAATCAGTCATCATTTAACTTTGTTCAGCAAACTGCCAAATTGATGTTGCTATCAAGGTGATTCAACGGCCTTTTTTATCTGCCCCAGAATCCCAGTTATCTCTTACACACCATACTCTCTCCGCCCCCACCCTGCCCTCCACACACATTTGCAACTGCCTCTCTTGAAAGCACCAGGCTGCCACCCACTGGCAAGAAATCAGCCATGAGGATCCACAGGCAGGATCGCAAGACCCTTGAGAAGGAAGAAAAATGTCAGGCTAAAATTTGTTGGCTCTTAAAAGGTTCTCCTCAGAAAGTGACCCTCAGAGAAATGTTACCAGGATTTAGTTTGCTAGGACACGAAAAGAAAATATATAAGGAAAAAAAAAAAAAAGAACATCAAAGCAAAACCTATAAGAAAGAATCCTGCTGATTCTGCCACTTGAAGCTTAGCGCTTACAGGCACAGCGTGCTTTCTTCTGCATTTCCTTTCTCCCAAGAACAATAAAAAAAAAATCTCAGGATTGAAAGACTTTACTATACCTCTTGAATCCCCCGCCCTGACATCAGGACTTCATCTAGTTGCCCAGTCTGCTCAAATAGGTGCAGCAATTTTGGACTTGTAACCCTCCTGAGAAGCTCATCCCATGTTTATATATGTCTACTTTACATTCCTGCATGGTGAACAGAAAAAAATCAGTGGAAATCCCAACTAGTAAACAAAATAAGGGAACAATGTTATTCTCCCTAGTAATCACAGAAATGAACTTTAAAACATTAAGGTGCTGTTTTTCACCCAAGAGGATAGTAGAAATATTTGTCATTGATAATACCTCCCATATAAATAAAGATGCAATAAAATTAGCACTTACTTACACATATACTGCTGACAGCAATACAAATTGTTACCACTTTTTAGGAAAGCACAGTGATATACAGAGTTCACACTCTTTGACCCAGTGGACACGGTTCTCGGAATATTCATCAAAAAATTATGCAAGGGAAAAAGAAGTTATACACACAAATATATCCACTGCAGGTTTGTTTTGAAATGACCCACTTTTCTAACAGGTCAGAGATATGTAACATTACAGAATTTGCTTACAGTACAATGTTAGATTTAAAAAGCACAATGCTGTAATCAGCCAGAATTTTCCTTATAAGCACTAGAGATCCACTCTCGTTAGTTTCAGCCCAAAAAGTATACACTTAGGTAATTCCCTGGGACCCAAAAAAGTAGGGTGGGGGCCACCTGGCCAGGAATGTGATACGCTAATCCTGGGAAGATACAGTGGATGTTGCTGCCCAGGTCCAAACACCCATGCCTGCAGGGCTGGCAGCCTCAGCACCAGAACCTAGAGTCATGGGCTCCGCTGCCTCCCCACCTGGGCACAGCCATCCGGTGCTCCGTCTCTGCATCTTCCCATCAGCCACTTTCAGTTCAGGTCTGAGGTGGGGTGTGGGTGACCATCCGTGAGCTTCAGGGGATGCTGGGAAAGTGAGGCCCTGGCTTTTGCAGATGTGACAGTGGTTAGAGGGTCCCCCAAAGATTTTTGCCAAAAAAGATTTAATGCTGAATGATCAGAAAGTAATGAAAATGGCCCACCAGAAACAAACAAAAAATATTATATTATGATCACAACCAGTAAAAATGATTTACACTAGGGAAGGACTGAAAGAGACTAGATTCACACATAGAAGCTTGGGTGATTTTTTTCTCTTTTTTCCTAATGTTCTATATTCCTAAATTAAATGTCCTATTAAAATGCAAAGTATTTGTATTGCTTTCTTAGAGCAGCCATAACTAATTACCACAAACTGGGTGGCTTAAAACAGCAGAAACTTATTCTCTCACAGGTTGGAGGCCAGAAGTTGGAGACTGAGTTGACAGCAGGGTCACGCTCCCTCTGAAGGATCCAGGGAAGAATTCTTCCTTGCCTCTTCCTAGATTCTACTGGTTGCTAGCAATCTTTGACATTCCTTGGCTTGCTGCCAGACCACTCCAATCTCTGCTTCTGTTGTCACATGGCCTTCTTCCCTCTGTGTCTGTCTAAATTACCCTCTAACCTGGTATGACTTCATCTTAACTTCGTTATGTCTGCAAAGACTCTATTTCTAAGTAATGTGCCATTCACAAGTTCCAGGCAAATATGAATTTTAGGGGTTACATTTTTCAACCCAGTGCAATATTTTAGAGATGTCTTTCTTTTGTTGAGGCAAAAATCGAGCTTCTCTCTTCAGGGATTGGACCTTTACTTCTTTGAAACCCAAACATGCCTTCCGTTATATCGCCTAGCATTGGGCTCAATACATATTAACACAGAGTAAACACTTGATGAGTAAGAGAGACAAGGAATATATTAGCCATGGAGGGAAAATGCATAAATTCAAAAGAAATAAATAAATGAATCATTCTGTATGGAGCTCATTTTCTTTAAGATTTTATTTATTTATTTGAGAGAGAGCGAAAGCGAGAGAGATCACAGAGGGAGAGGGAGATGCAGACCCCCGGCTGAGTGAAGAGCCCAATGAGGGACTCAATCCCAGGACCCTGGGATCATGACCTGAGCCAAAGGCAGATGACGCCTAACTGACTGAGCCACCCAGGCTACCCTATATGGAACTCATTTTAAAATCTTCGACAACCTCAGAGATAATTTCTTCAATCTCTTCATAATCAATTCCAATATCATCATCATCATCATCACCTATTAAGGATCTGACAAAAATCACATCTGCATGTCCTTCTCATCAGTATCACAGTGAGGACTGCTTCCTAAATAGAACCCATAACAACAACAAAACAAATAATCCATTACCTTGAGCTAAAGTCTCTCAACTCAAATTTAAGGTAACATTAAGAAAAGCTATAAAATAGAGAATTTCATTGATAGGTGATCTTCATGTTTTGAAAAGATAGACAGGTAAATGGGTAAGTATGGTGAGACAACAGGTTCGGCAAGGTAAGCAGTCTAGGAGTGTTGAGTGGGTTGGGAAGATATGTGGGTAGGTGAATGAATAGATATGCAGTGCAGATTAGCAGAATAGTAGATAAAATTTACCTGTAGCCTATCTGCATTTCCCATTTTCCATTTTCCAAGTTTCTTAAACTCCCAGATGACAACACCCTGGGGAAAAGCACAAAACAGGAAAGGGCTATACTGTGACAGGTTGGGCTTTGGGAATCTGAGCACAGGTTAAATTTATTAGAGGGTAGAAAGGAGAACACTAGCCACTTGGCACTAGCAGTCATAAATTCAAAGCATTCCAAGTATCATGCCCTCACCACACAGCACATTTCAGTTCTTCATTCTCAGAATCCTTAATTTCCCATCACTGTATGGGCTCTTTGATTTCTCATAGTCATTCCCTTATCCCCACTTCAGGAAAACTGAAATCCAGCTCCTGGGATCCCTCTTGGCTAGCTGTATGGGAACAGACATCAGCAGCAAAGAGCAAAAAGGGCAGACCTCTATCAATTCAAGGGCTCAAAGGTTCTGAGTTACTTCATGTTTGCTACTATAATCCTATTTGAAATGCTCCCAGGAAGCTCACGGTAGCTCACAGTTGAACCCAAGAGTAATTACTTTTATACGATGAATAACAGTCCTAATTTATTACTGTGCACAACAGTATGTGCCTATTTTGTTGAATAAATATAAGCTCACCTCAGATACCACTGAGGAACATGGAGATATTTCCATAGAAGCCACTGTCCTGCATGACTACACCAGGAGAAAGAAAAAGTAATTCAAAATAGGCCAACACATTAGTTTTGCAATCTATAAAAAGTTATCAACATGCTCAGATGCTGTCCCAAACACTCAAAGATAGGTCTTTACTTCTCTTGAGCTACTTATAATCTCAAGAGCCAACACTGGAGAGAGAAAATAAGATGAAGACATATATCAGGAACAAAACATGTGTCAATTAGAATGTATTTATTAGGCAGTTAATATTTAAAAAGCTCACGAACAAGGGCTTTAATAATAAAGACATTTGTGTTTACATCAACAGGGAGTATGAAGACAGGAGATTCAGTGGAGCAACCCAGTGTCATCTTCAAAAACCTCCGTTCTTTGTGTTCTCTGCTCTGTCATCCTCAGAGTATTGGCTCTTCATTCTTAGGTTTGAGCCTTCACCATTGCAAGATGGTGGTCAAAGCTCCAAACCCATTCAAGGCAAAAAGACATTAAAACCATCTATGGACCTAAACAAATGTCTCTAGTCTTAAGCTCAAATAAGGGATAATTCCATTACATCTGTAAATATTTCCCAGGAAATTCATGGACGGTTTCCTTCCATCCCCCACTCCAATTAATAAGAATGAAGAATTTAACCATGCAGAGGCAAAACTGAAAATAAAGCCAGTTTGCATTATAATGCAGCAAAAATAATATTACTTAGTACTTAAGGGTATTTATCCATAGAAAACAAAAATGCTGACTCGAAAAGATATATGTACCCCCATGTTCATTGCAGCATTATTTACAAGAGCCAAGGCATGGAAACAAACCAACTGTTCACTAATGGCTGAATGGATAGAGAAAAGTACGGTGTATATCTATATCTATATATAGATATAGATATGAATATTATTCAGCCATAAAAAAGAATGAAATCTTGCCATTTGCTGCAACATAGATAGACCTTGAGGGCATTATGCTAAGCAAAACAAGTCAGACAGAGAAAGGCAAGTATCATATGATTTCATTTATATGTGGACTCAAAAAAAAAAAAGAAAGAAAGAAAAAATGTTCATAGTTACACAGGACGTATTGGTGGTTGCCAGATACAGAGTGGCCAAAATGGGCAAAGGGGGTCAAAAGGTATAAATTTCCAGTTATAAAATAAATGTCATGAGGATGTAATGTACTGCATGGTGACTATAGTTAATAATATTGTATTGCATATATGGAAGTTGCTAAGAGAATGGATCTTAACATTTCTCATCACAAGAAAAAAAATGTTGTAACTATGTATGATGGCAGATGTTAACTATATTTGTTGTGATGATCATTTCACAATGCATACAAATATTGAATCATTATGTTGTACCCCTGAAACTAATATGTCAATTATACCTCAATTTCTTTAAAAACCCAAGCAAGTTTATGAGACACAATTCTACCCTCAGAAAACAGACAACTTTTCTTCACTTGGACCTTTGTTGGACAAACTCATCAGGGAAACAACTCAGTTTGCATTATTTCCTGACACAGGACATCTCCCTTACAAAGCCAGTTATTTTCTGAAAGGCACCACATGATAGAAGACGCCTTCCCATGGGATGACTAGTTCCTTTCCTGATGAGAGTGCCAAAGGTAATATTCTGCGGTAAGCCAGGGCAAGTCCACATTTCCAATCATGAGCTACAGAGAACATTCTCAGTTGTGTGTATTTTCAAGGGCTACAACATTCTGTATCTAAGCATTAAAATAGCTAGAGTGAGAATTTAAACGTCATCCCCAAAAATGTCATCAGGGATTTGATACTCCCACTGCTATACAGAGCAGTCTACATATACTATGACACATGGAACACTGACTCTGCAAGAAATTCCATGGCGTGCTTTTTATTTCTCCTCATCAACCAGCATCACCCCATTTCATCTGCTTAACATCTTTCTTTACTGTCCACATATTAACCTATATAATTAAGGAGCCCCAAGTTGACCTTTAACTTATATTTTCTGTCTCTGCCAAAAATACTCCATGAAAACAGTAGCCTTGTCCTTGGTTATTCACAATACCACAGCACGTAGCACAGAGGACATGCTCAGTATCTATTTGTTAAGCAAGCTAGTAAAAGACCATGTCAAGTGATTTTCAAACATGGTTCAATTAATAATTACAAATCTGCATTTCACAATGTGAATTCTGAAACTCAGAGGGATTCAATCACTTGCCCCCAAATATGAATGTATTCAATGGCTGTTGAACTTGAACTGAAGTCTGGAGTGAGCCCCCTCACTATTTGGCTACAAAGCCCATACTCTTTCCTCCAAACCACCCTGCCTTTGCTATTTGAGTTTTTATCTGTATTTGTTTCATCGCTGTCCATCACGCATCTGCAAATTAACATTTTCAGAGATATATGAGTCCTACATTCAACTCCCTTCCTCAGTGGTTCCCTCACTCTTGCATCTATCCCTCACACAAACTACCAGGCTCTCAGGCTAGGCATCTTGAAAAAAGCATAAGATAGAAACGTACCCATAGTAGGAGAGCCAGATCTTGGTGCCCTTGGCAGAGCAGTTCCTGGCACATGGGTTGTGTTAAATACGTATTGATGAATCCACTCATAGTTAATGATGGAGACCACCCCTGTACAGAACTGCCAGCATGAGAAGCGTGTCATAACCTCCCTTCAGATCTCCCCCGGAGCCCCAGGAGGGCGGGGAGTACGGCACATCTCACTATGACAGAGAAAGAATTTGAATTGAGAGAGAGACCACATCTCAAGGCTGGTTGGCAGAACCAACCTAAATATAGGTTTTCCTATAACAACCTCCAAGTTTCCATCCCAACTTTCTACTTGGTGAGCCGTTTACTCATCTTTCAAAAACTAGTAGATACTTACCTCTTCTGTGACAATGCCTGGAGCATGTGAGCCTCAACCTGCCCTGTGTTCTATCACTCTCGCACATACGTTCTGCAATATTTATCACAGTGTAATGGTCTTTGGTTAATAGGACTCTCGTATTAGACTGAGAAATACCTGGAGAATAGCTTTCCTAACATTATCATCTATGTCTCTCCAGGGCCCAGCACAGAGCCTGAGTACACAGTGGGAGTTTGAGAAAATAGATTTGATATTTTATTAGTTAGAGGACACCAAAAAGTTAAAACCAAACTAAGATATTCATAAGACCTTGTTACTCTCTAGTAAACAAGTATTTGCTTGCTAAAAGGATACCTGCAGATGAATCTCACAAACATAATGCTGAGCAAAAGAGGCCAGATCGAAAATAGTACATTATTTACTGGAAGTTCAAAACAGGCAAAATAAACTGATGGTTTAGGAACAGCTATTATCATGATTTGTCTTAGTGCAATCTATCCCTGAACACCAAAGGGATTCAGAAAAAGTAAACTGTTATTTTTAAATGTTCACAAATTTCAATACCAACTGACAATGAGCCAACAACTAAAAGTGACACCTCTCTGGGGATATTTCTCGCAACTGCAAACAACTGAAAACACCAGGAAAGGTACTTTAACTTGTTGTTAATGTTCTCAATGCCTGGGGAACATTTTTAAATGGTCTTTAGCTGTTGCATCCAATTTAACTTTCTGGAAGTTAAGTTTCCATAATCAGCTTAAATTGTTATTTCAGATTTTAAAGATGCATAATTTCCTTAGAAACCCAAAACCTCACCTGCAGAGGCCAAAAGGGCTGGCTTCCACCTGCTCTGTGTCTAGCACAAGCCCAAGCATACCCACTCTCCCCAGTTTGGGCCTCCTGTAATCCAGGGATCCCTCTCTTCCCTCCATAAAGCTGAAGGAGGACCATCTTTATTCATGCTATTCACTAGAGGAGGCCAGACAGAGGGGAAAACCGGGGGCTTTTGTCATTAGGACATCCTATCTTCCTTGGGCTTGTAACACCAAAGAACAGTGGCTCATCTACAGGCTGAAAAGCTCTGGGTCTGACCACACTCCCCCATGCTAGCAGAAGAGCTGCAGAATTCTCTCTCTGTAATGCAGGTGGTGAGTGCCCAGAAACTGGGAATTTTCTAAGGACGGATAGTCCATTGACCTCTCCTCCCCCCCAGAGGAAGAAGAGATGAAGAAGAGACTTCCCATCTAAACTACCCTAGGAACACAAACCTTTCCGGTCTAACTTAAGCCCGTCAGGAAGTCTAGCGATGGAAGGCAAATTCCCCGGAAGGCAAGTCAGCCTGCTGACATTTAACTCTTTCATCTCCGCTGTCCTGAACTCTGTTGTTCTCAATTCTTTGCCTGGTCTTCAGCGACACCCAGCCCTGTGAGCAGGGGGACAGACGCTGTCAGCTCACTCTGAAGTGTTTTCAGGGTTAGGGTTTAGAAAAGTAGATGGGGATTGGGTGAGACGGAGGTAGGTCTCGCAGAAAATAGGCAAAGGCTCCAGTTTGCAGCACTTCCTGAATCCAGAAGCCCAATCTACTCATTCTCTGGACGAACACCCAGCCCGCTCTAATTCCCGCCCCCTTCAAGTTTGCCTCCAACCCCATCACCTCTTCTCTCCTCGGGCTCCTGTTGTGGCCAGAACAATACAAAGCTTAGATGCGTGTGGAGTCGCCTGTCAAGAGTAAATGCGCTGCTGATTGGCCTTAACTCCTCCAGCTCCAAGCGGGCGGCTTTGCCTGAGTTCCGATCTTGAGCCCTGCACTCTCCGACATCCGCAGTTCGCGTCCCCGCCATACCCTCCTCAGTAGAAGGAGCGCGCAGAGAGAGGCAAAGGAGTGGCAGCAGCCGGGCCTCGCCGCTTTAGGTGCGGGCGTCCCCGGGGCGGGGCCCTGGGACCGCGGGACCCCGCAGGAGCCGCCACCGCACCCGGGTGCCGAGGACCCAGAGCCCCGCGCCGGCGAGGAGCGCGCTCAGCCCCGGGAGGAGCCGCCGCCCGCGCTCACTTTTCCCGCAGCGGGAGCGCAGAGCAGCAGAGAGGGGCCCGGAGAGCCGCGGAGAGGGGCCCGGAGCGGCGGCGGCTGCGCGGGGCTTTCCGCTGGCCGGCTGTGGGGGGCAGGCGCGCAGGACCCCAACTCCGTCCAAGTTGGACCGCGGAGGCGGCGCGGGGCAGGTGGCGGGGCGCGCAGAACCAGGCGCCTGCGGACCCCAAGCGCGGGGCTGGGAGTCGCGGGGCCTCTGGCTCCGCGCCCCTCTCTCCCCGCGGCTCGGCTGTGGGCTGAGAGCAGGCAGTGCAGAAACACAGCCACCGCAGCCGCCGGGACACCACCAACCCGCAAATGCGTCCGCCTCCCGGTTCCGGGAGCCCTGCGGCCCCTAGCATCTCAAAGCTTGCACTACCTCGTGGGTGGAGGCTCCCTGCTCTCTGTGGGTGGGGGCCTTGATCTGACCCAGAGCACAGACTGTATCTCCTGGTCTGGGCAACTTCAACTCCACAACTGGATATTTTACCACTAGTTTGCAGAGGATGCTTGCTCAAACTACCTCAGCTAACTACGCTTTAAAATGAAGGTGTTAGGGGGCGCCTGGGTGGCTCAGTTGGTTGGGCGACTGCCTTCGGCTCAGGTCATGATCCTGGAGTCCCGGGATCGAGTCCCTCATCGAGCTCCCTGCTCGGTGGGGAGTCTGCTTCTCCCTCTGACCCTCCTCCCTCTCATGTTCTCTGTCTCTCATTCTCTCTCTCTCAAATAAATAAATAAAATCTTTAAAAAAAAAAAATGAAGGTGTTAGGTGGCAAAGTCTCCTCCAGGACCTAAAATGCTGATTTGTATGATCATGGTATCAACCCAACACCTCAGCTGCTATGTAAATAATTCAGATGAAAATCTATGGTGGATGAATTTTTAAATGTGTTTTACATTAGTAAGTTTTTCTTAAAAAGCCCATCTTTTTTAAAAGTAGGGCTTATATCATATGATCCAGCAATTGCACTACTGGGTATTTACCCCAAAGATACAAATGTAGGGATCCGAAGGGGTACGTGTGCCCTGATGTTTATAGCAGCAATGTCCACAATAGCCAAACTGTGGAAAGAGCCAAGATGTCCATGGACAGATGAATGGATAAAGAAGATGTGGTGTATATATATACAGTGGAATATTATGCAGCCATCAAAAGGAATGAGATCTTGCCATTTGCAACAACATGGTTGGAATGGGAGGGTGTTATGCTGAGCGAAATAAGTCAATCAGAGAAAGACATGTATCATATGACCTCACTGATATGAGGAATTCTTAATCTCAGGAAACAAACTGAGGGTTGCTGGAGTGGGGGGGGTGGGAGGGATGGGGTGGCTGGGTGATAGACGCTGGGGAGGGTATGTGCTATGGTGAGTGCTGTGAATTGTGCAAGACTGTTGAATCACAGATCTGTACCTCTGAAACAAATAATACATTATATGTTAAGAAAAAAAAGAAGAAGATAGCAGGAGGGGAAGAATGAAGGGGGGGAAATCGGAGGGGGAGATGAACCATGAGAGACGATGGACTCTGAAAAACAAACTGAGGGTTCTAGAGGGGAGGGGGGTAGGAGGATGGGTTAGCCTGGTGATGGGTATTAAAGAGGGCACGTTCTGCATGGAGCACTGGGTGTTATGCACAAACAATGAATCATGGAACACTACATCAAAAACTAATGATGTAATGTATGGTGATTAACATAACAATAAAAATTTAAAATAAATAAATAAATAAAGGTAGGGCTTAAATGTCTTCAAATTTCTAAGTCCTCACAGACTTTGTAACACTGCTTGTTTGTACATAGGAATTACACAGTAGGTATCCATGACTAAATAAATGAATACCAGGACCGTTAATGTTTATCCAAACAAAAGTACTAATTCCAGGATATGCGTGTGTGTATGTGTCTGTTTGCACATTTCCTATTGCTATTTCCATGGTATTTCCATGGTATTTCCATGGTAACATCATTGAAATTTGACCCCTGTGTCTATCATCGGTCACCTTGAAGACAACAGAGGAATAGTTCTTTATGGGTGTTTTCAACGAGATTCAAGAAACCACAAGAAAACCACAAACTTCCCAAGGCAGAATTATAACAAAGTTCTCTTGAGTCATAGTCTTAAACCACTCCATGATAAGTAGGAATAGAAGGAGAGAAGCTTTCTCAATCATTAAAGTTGAGTGTGTTGATATTTAAGAGAGTGATGTCTGACATTAAAGGAGCCTGGAATGTCCTTCCAGAAACACCCTTTTGTGGCCCTGACTAGCGGTTTGTCCTTGGAACCCAGCTCTGTACCCTTCCATAAACATAACAACATCTGGCAGTCTGGGACCTCTAGATAGGGAGACCAGAGTGAAGATTCTACCTCACCCAGATTACAAACTGCTCTTTGTGAAATCCAGGCCAGCCATTCCCCTCCCCTCAGAAAGTTTTCAGAGCTTTGCTGGATCATTTGCTTAATGCCTCTTCTTCACGCCCTGTTAACCTCCTTGCCAACCTGGATAAGTATGCCAGAGTTCCTCCAGGAGAGGAAAAACAGATTAAAAAGTCAGAATCCAAATAGATCCCTATCCCATTATAGGAGGGGGAAAAGCAAATTGAAAAGGGGTAGCAGAAAAGACATCAGGATATTTGTAGGTTATGAGCCAATATTGATTTTGCCTTAATATACTTCCATTTGGACTTAGGATTTTTACTGCCTTAAATCCTGCATGAAGAATTTCCTGCAGAAACTTGGTGATAATATGACTGATTTTTCTCCCCATAAAGGTTACATCTCCTTTCTTCCTGAACTTACCCCTGTTATCCCCTTTGAGATTCATCCAAGAGGAATTCACAGACACCTGATCATTTTTCTTTTTTTTACCTCAATAAATTATTTTTTATTATGTTATGTTAATCACCATACATTACATCATTAGTTTTTGAGGCAGTGTTCCACGATTCATTGTTTGCGTATAACAACCAGTTCTCCATTCAATACCTGCCCTCTTTAATACCCATCACCAGGTTAGCCCATCCCCCCACCCCCCTCCCCTCTAGAACCCTCAGTTTGTTTTTCAGAGTCCATAGTCTCTCATGGTTCGTCTCCCCCTCCGATTCCTCCCTTCATTCTTCCCCTCCTGCTATCTTCTTCTTTTTTTTTTTTTTAACATATAATGTATTATTTGTTTCAGAGGTACAGATCTGTGATTCAACAGTCTTGCACAATTCACAGCACTCACCATAGCACATACCCTCCCCAATGTCTACCACCCAGCCACTCCATCCCTCCCACCCCCCACCAATCCAGCAACCCTCAGTTTGTTTCCTGAGATTAAGAATTCCTCATATCAGTGAGGTCATAAGAACAAATGATCCAATCAAGAAATGGGCAGAAGACATGAACAGACATTTTTCCAAAGAAGACATCTAAATGGCCAACAGACACATGAAAAAGTGCTCAGCATCGCTTGGCATCAGGGAAATCCACATAAAAACCTCATTGAGATATCACCCCACACCAATCAGAATGGCTAAAATTAACAAGTCAGGAAACAACAGATGTTGGCAGGGATGTGGAGAAAGGGGACCCCTCCTACACTGTTGGTGGGAATGCAAGCTGGTGCAACCACTCTGGAAAACAGTATGGAGGTTCCTCAAAAAGTTTAAAATAGAGCTACCACACGATCCAGCAATTGCGCTACTGGGTATTTACCCCAAAGATACCAATGTAGGAATCAGAAGGGGCACCTCCACCCTGCTGTTTATAGCAGCAATGTCCACAATAGCCAAACTGTGGAAAGAGCCAAGATGTCCATTGACAGATGAATGGATAAAGAAGATGTGGTATATATATATATATATATATATATATATACACACACACACACACACACACACACACAATGGAATATTATGCAGCCATCAAAAGGAATGAAATCTTGCCATTTGCAATGACGTGGATGGAACTGGAGGGTATTATGCTGAGTGAAATAAGTCAATCAGAGAAAGATATGTATCATATGACCTGATCATTTTTCTTAAAGCTCCAATTTAATTTTCCATTTGAGGAAGGGTTTAATCAGAAAGATCTAGGTGAAATAGGTTCCAGGATTGGTTGATTGTTGGTTTTGTTTGTTTGTTTTATGATAATTACCTTTTAACCCATGGAGCTTTGCTCCCTATTGGCCTCTGTCATCAGGCAGAAGTTTAAAAGCACCACTAATTCCCCAAACCCATCCTTTTTAACAAAACTGTCAAATAAATAGCCTAATCAGGTAGAGAAGTGGACTAATCTAATTAAGTAGTTTCCAGTGCAGTGTGCCCTTAAGATTGTTGAACAGATTTCATGGATATGGTGCTACAAGGTTGCGCCATCCCATGGAAAGAGGAGGGGGCAGCTAATGTCAGGACCCAAGCAGTGGATATAGATGGATGGTTCCTACAAGAAATCTGAAGACTCTAAACATGAAAAATATATATCAGGGCACCTGGGTGGCTCAGTTGGTTAAGCGACTGCCTTCGGCTCAGGTCATGATCCTGGAGTCCCGGGATCGAGTCCCGCATCGGGCTCCCTGCTCGGCAGGGAGTCTGCTTCTCCCTCTGACCCTCACCCCTCTCATGCTCTCTCTCTCTCATTCTCTCTCTCAAATAAATAAATAAAATCTTTAAAAAAAAAAAAAGAAAAATATATATCAATTCTTTCCACATCTCATTATGTCTACCCCAGCAGCTTCCACAATATTGTCCCTGCTTCTCTGATGCTCCTTCTCTATGTCTTCTCTACAAAATTCATACTCGAGTTGGGGTTTATATACCCAACAACACCAGACAATAACACAGTGCAAAGAGAAGAAGCAAAATCACTTGTTGTACATCCTTAATTTTTATATCCAAAACCTAGCAATCTACCTTTACCAATGTTTAACTGCTGAAGGGTAGCAATACAGTTTATAAACAAATATGAATATTTGGGGAGCACATGCTCAAAATTCTTCCAACTCAATGAGATATTTGATCAAAACATTATAGACATCCTGTAAAACAGCAAGCGATGGTATTTTAAACACATAAAAATGTCATGCAAATTCCTTTTGCTTAAAAGCCTTTGACAGTTTCCTATTTTACTCAGAATAAAACAAAAAATGTAAGAAGGGGGAAAGTTTATCTACCTGATTCAAAAACTGCTATAAAAGTTCATTCAACTTTATAAACCTCTTACCAGTACCAATGATACTGCTTGGTATTTGTGATACACCTATCTCATTGATTGCTAAATTGTTTCTAGATATTTATTTGTAAACGGATAAAACTTGTAGCAATCCTCCCCCCTTCAAAACAGATAGAAGGCAGGTATTTCTT